GATGATTTAAATAATACCTCTGTAGAAAACACCATATGGGACAGATGTATGTGTTTCATCAATTCACTAGCAGTGGACTCCTAATGCGAGGTAACCAGTAATGAGACAAAATAAATCCTGTTGAAAGAAGGGTGCCCTCATGTGCGATTCCTCCTCTGTATATTTTTATATATTTTAAATTTGATAATTAACGGGGACTGCATGGCTTGTTTGTTTTTAAATTTCCTTGAGGATTTAATGGTTTCTATGGTTTCCATGTTCCCGGCTAATCCATTACAACACAGTTTACACGCTTTGATGTTCTGTAGTTAAGTCAGTTTTATTAGGGACCCAAGCTAGGTTACTATTAGTATCGTCGTTTTTTTCTTTCATTATCTTCTTCGTTCTTCTGTAACTTTTTTCGTCAAGCTGTTTGAGAAAACCACTGAACGGAATGGTTTGAAATGCAATATACTGATAGTCCCTAATGGTTTGGCAACCATATTCGATTGAAATTAAACCAGAAGTGGCTATTTGACCACTTTCTCAGGGTCTAGGTGATCTGATTTTTTTACGGCAAAAAATTTGATAGTTACCAGTTTTTTTAAAAATAAATTCCATCTTCGGGAATTTCCTAAGAATTATGTTGGTACAACACAGCATTCTGATTGGTAATAACAAACTTGACCCATTAGGTCAAAAGACGTTGTAGCAGGTCAAATCGTGGTCAAAACATCATGGCAGAAAGTGCTTTTTATCGAGAGTTTGCATAGGATCCAGCGAGGGGGTGCTCGGGTAAGCGCCCACCCCTAAAAAATCATGATTTTCTGAGTTGAGAACTCCGGGCGCCAACATGGTCCAGTACGGTAGCATAACTCATGAGCAATAGCTAATAACAACTTTAGCGATCACGTGACTTTTTACGCCAGGAAGTAGTTTTTTTACTCATGCCACACTTATATATGATTATCTTCTAGCTTGCTGCATTGCATCTATATATCGACTCTTTCAGAAAGTTAAGAAATATTTCAGATCAGTCACGTGGTTTGGCCGCCATCTTGGGCATTTGTTTCTCTAAGTTGCTTCAACCAATCAACTGGATATTTAGTATATAACATGTCTGGCGATAGCTTCATATAGGTAAAATCAATGAGTCACATGGTATGGCCGCCATCTTGGATTTTGTTAAAACAGAAATTATGCAATTACATGTGTAGTATTGGTCTGATTGGGGTGAAAATTTTGAAATTATACTCTTGAGATACATTCTTTCACATGAATGACACATTCTTGATAATTTTAATGGGTATACAATATACATATTTTAATGCATACGAGTAAACTCACAAAAATCCCCTCAAAATAAGAGAATTTAGTATATAGCTTTGACAAAAAAGCATTATTTTTCCTTGTCTAATAATGCTATTTTTTTCGATCTGTGTAACTTTATATGGAAATCCTAATGAGATTTAAAGTTCAGTTCACAACTGACGGTTTTGCAATATTAGTGCTTGTCAACTTGTCCATGGAGGCTGCACGATTATTTTTATAAATATTGTATTCACTACATTTATTTTGTATTTACATTGACCATGACGTCCACAGTAAATTCTTCTTCCTGATGTGACCACAGTGACTGTGTGGTATACTCGGCAGTTTTTGTTTCGTTTGGTCGATTGTTGTCAGTTGTTTGTTTTGTGTTCTTGGAATTTTGTACAAAAAACAACAATGGTCAAATAGGCATATTATTTCCACTTTGCAGTATATCATGAACAGTACTTGTATACTTTGTTCTCCACAGTCTCCCCCTTATAAAAATGAAACTTTGATAAAACCTTCCCGATGCCTTCCTGGTACCTTCCGGGAACTAACCGGGAAGGTTCTCGCATAGAAATCCTATGCAACAAAAACTAAGCAGCTTTATGCGGCTAGCTGCTTAGTTCTTGCATAGTGTTAATACTATGCGAGAAGGTGTCAGTTATTTTCATACTATGCGAGAAGGTGCCAATAAAAGCATAATTCTATGCAAGAAGGTGCCAGCTATTTTCATACTATGCGAGAAGGTGCCAATAAAAGCATAATTCTATGCAAGAAGGTGCCAGCTATTTTCATACTATGCGAGAAGGTGCCAATAAAATCTGAATTATATGCGAGAAGGTGCCAACTATTTTCATACTATGCGAGAAGGTGCCAATAAAATCTGAATTCTATGGGACAAGATGCCAGCTATTTTTGTACTATACCAATAAAATAAGAAGTTATGCAATTTCACTCTAGCTTCCGACTTGCACAAGCACCCTTTGAACCATTTAAAGAGTAAAATAATCATCATTACAAATATGTGTTGCATTAAATGATAAATTTTATTTAAACCTTTTAAATTTACAGCACAAAAA